ATATTCGGCTTTCGGCGCAGATAAAAAGCGCGGCAAAACTGTTGGTGGCATTTTCTGTCAACGATTTCTGTAGAATTTTATGCAATCAGGCGCGTTTCCATCGCTGTGTTAACCACAGTGTATTCAAAACATTTCTATGGTACGTGAAAGACAATGAATGGAACTAATTTTTACTGTAAAATTACAACTGTGACAAAGCTTTACAAAAAGCTTGTACATGTCGAGGGCTAAATAAAAATAGTAAAGCCTCAAAGAAGAATATATATTTTACTAAAGATAGCATCCAGTTTGATGTGAAACATTACTGCACTTTAGCAGAATGTCCCATCTATTGTTATCTGTTTTATCTGGTGTTGACTTAAATAAAACAGACAAATCTTAATTTAGCAATGACATGGCATATATTCTTTCATGTCATTGGTTATTTGAGGAACTTAGTTCCTGAAGAGTAAGGTTCATATTACAAACCCATGTCTGATTGGTTGACACAGTAACTTATTTCCCAAAGATCTCATTAAAAATGTATTTGAGATCTGATTGGTTCATTCAGGAACTAAGATTCCTAAAATGTCAAGTACATTTTAAAATGGTGAAGTACATTTTTAAATGGGGATGTGTTGCTTCTGACATCAGGTACATTTTGTGTATAATTATGTTGCAGTCCAACAATATTGGCCTGGCAATGGCCTTGCCATTCCATCTCCCAGATTCCACAAAAATACATTTTTTTTAGTGCTCTCTAATCGTGATGATTTAAGCTTGTGGTTAGCTGCTACTACATGCATTGTTAGTAATCATTTGTCCCTGAAACATTTTCACTCTTAAACTTTGAAATGACTGTGAAAAAAAGTCAAGTTAGATAGGTCAAATTTATAAACAAAAAAATTAATTCAACAGTCTGAGCTACTTTTGTTTACCCACAACATAGCCAAAATTGTCCTTTTAATGAACCTAAAAACTATACTCAAGAAACTTTCACCTCCACATTATTTGATAAATTCTCTTCTTCAATGCCCAAGAGAGTTTGTAGACCATTTGCAGCAAATGTATCATTTGTATCTGTTAAATAAGACAGAAAACAGAATAGTATGATTCAATTTTGCAGCTTTACAAAAAGAGCATAGTAAGGGTCATAAGTTGGCTCTTTCTATAAAACAATGCTTTAACTTAGGAATCTCAGATGATATGATTTGGTCCAAAATAGTTTTAGGTAATAATTTGACTTTAAATTGTGTTTGCCTTCAATTGACCTTCCCATTGTAAAAAAAATTATTTAAGGAGGCTCAAGCAATTACCTGTTTGAAGGAAGTACTGTTTGATCTATCAATAAAACTACATTTGATTTCTTTATTGCTTCAATAAATGGTATATATAAAAATCATTGGTATCTTTCCTGAAGCAAGAAATTTCAATAACTAAGCTACATCCTCTTGAAATGTTCTTGATAAATAAATAAATAAATAAATAAATAAATAACTTTATTAAACACAGAATTAAAAAAGTTATCATTTATTTAGATTGAAGCTGTGTACAGAATAAATTGTACTATACAATCATATCAATAAAATTAATTAAATAAATAAGTATAAAAGCTAAGTATATATACAACTAAAATCACATACAATCATTTCTCAAACCAATAGTTTGAAGTAAAAACTCCTTTAGATTCAGAATTCTTAACTTGATTTGGTAAGTCATTAAAAAGCTCAGTGCCTGCATAAGAAAATAATCTACTCCCCGATTTAGATGACATCCTATTCAAATGAATATTACTACGTCCCCTAGTAATTCTAATTATGTATATCCAAATTATGAGAAAACAAATTCAATGAGTAGGATGGACAAAAACCATTTATGCAGTGGAAAACTTGAAGACATTTGTGGAAGGTCCATCTCTCAGTTAGTGGTAACCAACCTAACTCCTTAAAGAGCTTGATCTCAGCTTTAATTTATGCCTCTGAATCAAAACTAGTTCAATGAGTGACCCCTATTTTCTTTATTTTGTTGACATGCAAACAATATATTATTTGTATTCATGTTTCTGAAAGTTATAAAATCTACAGGGTAGGTTCAGAGCCACCTTAGTTTATCAAGACCTGCTACAGGTTACCGTGAACCCACACAACAGAATTTTTGGGAACTTCATGTAAAGATAAAACTAGATGAGATGATTGCAAATGACCATGAAATATGGGGTCACCAAATTCTCATTTGAACTAGGGGTATATCATGTAAAGATTAAGGCGGTTCTTGAATTTTTTTTAGTACCCCTTTTTAAAAGGATTTGGATCTTAAAAACAGCTTAACTAATTTGGGCCACCTGGATTAGAAGATCAGGAGTCAAAAATAAGTCTTAGAATGCTGAAAGGCCAAATGCATTGGAAAGTGGCAAGGATGGCCAAGGATCACCTATTGAACATTCAATTTAAAAAAGAGAAGTCATGCAGAGATGAACTCACTTTGAGCCACCTGTTTATCTTCGGCATTCAAGTGCTCCACTCGTGTTTTAGTGAGAACTTCCACCCCACTTGCAGTATACACTTTGCACTCATATCCATTCACAACCTCTGTCTTGTCTCCACCCCAACCCCACATGGTTTTGTGCCTTGTGGATTGCAAAGAGTAGTTAATTTTATTTGAAGGAAGACAACGATTTTCAATACCTACCAATGCTGACAGTCTTAAAGTTATCTAAAGCGTGATAAACATTTGTAGTAAAAATTACTTCTACCATGCAGTATGCCCTTTCCACTTTTTCTTAGTAACTTATTACCTTTTTTCTCTGTTAATAATCTTAAGTTTATGATTTTAGGTCACCAAATGGCAACTTTGAAAGGTTAGAGGTTGGAGCCAAAGAGAATCATAGTCAACGTCATGATGTTTGGCAAATCAATTTAACTGTGTTGTGGAGGGCTTATTCTGACAGAAAATCTGGCTCACACAAAAAAAAAACAAAAACAAAAAAGGGAAAGAGAGAGAGAGAGAAAAGAAAACATATTCAATCTTTGCATGTTGTCCTTCAGTAACATTTTGGGAAAAACAATAAAAACACTAATGTGGCCTTGAATTACTGTAAAATATTGTTGAAGTCTGAGCTTTCGCCGCTCGACGGCATCATCCAGGACAGATAAGATAAAATATTCCGAGAGGGCCGAATAAAAGGGAGAAAAGTGTCACTATACTAATGAGGTAGTGTAACTGTGAGGGGATCCAGTGTGATATGGGAGGTGTTAGAACAATAGGTCTGTGAATTCAATGCATTCCTCTTGGGAGTTAAGTGTAGGTTTGTTTTTCCCTATGTAAAACGCTTCAAATAGGCGGAGGTTTATTGGGTCATTTTCTAATGTAATGATTTTGACTTCAATACCTTTGTAATCCTTGTCTTGGCATATAGCAATGTTTGTTTGCGGACAAATTTACACTTCTGAGATGTTCTTTCACATGGTCGTGGATTGAGAGAGTGGTGCTCCCGATGTAGTCTCAGTTACAGTTTTTGCATGTAATTTGGTAAACAGCATATCTCAATAAACACAGGTTGGTATGTGCGATGGGGCAAATGTATCTTGTGCATTATATGCTCCCTGATTTTGTGAGAGAGGGCTTTTCTGAGGGTGTATAACTTGTGTGCAATGCACACAGGTATTCCCTCTTTACAGAAGATGTTAGTGATCTTCTGGTCTAAACGTATGGAGATATAGATCTTCAGGTATGACCATTTTTTCTTTTCGGTGTTGGAAGGGAGAGAGTCTTTGCGATAATTCTGGGGTTGTTGTATGTGGTGTATGTAGCTCTCTGAGTATCCGTTTAGGTGCAGGATTTCGTCAATTGCACCTTGATGTTTTGCATCTGTAGTTTGTGTAGAGTATTAGTAATGAATATATTTCCACTTGTTTCGAATGAAGTTGGTCTTGGCTTTCTTGGGAATACCTGATTGATGGTGTACAAACAATGGTTTTTTAGCTTTTTTAGTTTTTTTCTTGTAAAAATCAAAGGAGCTTTTGCCATCTTTAGAGATGGTAACTTTGAAGTCTATAGTACTGACAGTTTGTGGCCATTAGGTGTTGTTTCCAGTTTCTCAATTTCAAACTTCAATTTTGGATGCAGGTTATTCATTGTGTGGTGGAACTGGTCTGCTATTTCTTTGTTAGTTGTTTGTAGGTAGATGTCATTGACATATCTCTTGTAAGGGTTTATGGAGAGGTGTGAGGATAGTGCGATGGTTTCAAGTTGTCCATAAAGAGAATGGCTAGAATTCCTGAAATGCTTGAACCCATGGGGAGACCTTCCTTTTGGTGGAAGACTTGGCCATTGAAAGAGAAGTACATGTGATTTAATGTAAATGTGAGAAGATCCATAATGTCTTGCTTGGAGAGGTGGAATATTGGCTTTTGAATTCGGTCAACAGCAGTAGTGATGGCTTCCTGTATGGGAAATGAGGTGTATAGTGACACCACATCGAGGCTGCATGGATATGTTAATGTTTTGTTGGTGGTGGGATCACTGGATTGAATGTAGTTAATGAGCTCTAGGCTGTTTTCTAAATGTGCTGGGATATTCTTTAGCATCCGTTTAAGGGTGTTGGTGAGCAACCATGAGATCTGTTGCGTCGGTCTATTGCTGTTGGATACTATGGGTTGTATTTTGATGTCCAGGCCCGTTTTGTGGGTTTTGATGAGGTGGTAAAACCAGGGTAAATCGGTGTTCGAGGACAGGAAGCTTTTCTGGACAAAAGCTGGGAACTCATTTTGTAGGCAGATGTTTTCCAGGATGCGTTGATCTTGTTTAGTACTGTGTAATTTACTGGCTGTGTTGTATGCCAAGTATCATGAGGAGCGGATTTCAGATGCTATCTCAGATGTGAAATCAGATGTTATCTTCTCATCAAGTTGATACTTGGCTTACTACACAGCACTAAATTTCTAAAACTGCTAAACAACCTCAGGAACCTCGACAATGCCAGTACCTTAGTTAACAGCTTACAAAATCCAACAAATGCAGCTACCAACACAGAAAACAACCGCAACGCCACCAACATGAAAAATACACATAGTGACACCACGAACCTAACCAGCCTAGTCACCGACCTCAGAAGCCAACTCAACACCCAAGAAATCTATCTCTTGTCTAAAGGCCCAAAGTTTAGCCTCTCCCCCAGCACCAATGAACACACAATCACAGGAGTTAACGTTGTATTCTTCCAACTCACCAACCAAATCACTGGAAACAGCTCCGCGAATGAAATCCTCAACCCTCACATTTTATCGCCCACCCCCAAACCAGCCACATCTACAGACCTAGGTCTAAAGACGAACTTGAGAGCAAGCTCCAGAGGATCCATTTAAAACTCCAAACCATTCTTAAGTCAATACTCCCCCAATGGAAGTGGTCAAGCATCAGTTCTTCTGACGTAAAAACAGTCAAAGATCTCAAAGAAAAGAAGTACATATGCCTCCCGAGTGACAAAGGCACTGAACTCTGTGTAATACCACAAGATACACACACAAGTCGCCCTTGATCACCTTAATGACTGAAACACATACCAGAAAGTTACTCATATGTCAGCCAAAACAGTCAAAAACAAGATCAATGCAGCCTGGAAAAATATCTGCCTACAAAATAAGTTCCCAGCTTTTCCCTGTCCTTGGACACCAATTTACCCCGGTTTTACCAACTCATCAAAACCCACAAAATGGGCCCGGACATCAAAATATGACCCATAGTATTCAACAGCAACGGACCAACACAACGCATCTCATGGTCGCTCGCCAACACCCTTAAACCGATGCTAGTAAAGAATGTCCCAGCACAATTAGAAAACAGCCTAGAGCTTATTAACTACATTTAATCCGACGATTCCACCACCACTGCACAATGAATAACCTTCATCCAAACTTGAAGTTTGAAATTGAGAAACTGGAAACAACACCTAAACAGCCACAAACTGTTACTACTAGACTTCGAAGTTACCATCTCTAAAGACGGTAAAAGCTCCTTTGAGTTTTACAAGAAAAAAACTGAAAAACCATTGTTCGTACACCATCAAACGGCTATTCCCAAGAAAGCCAAGACCAACTTCATTCGCAACGAGCGGAAACAAATTCATGACCGATGCTCCATACGAACTACAAATGCAAAGCATCAAGGTGCATTTGACGAAGTCCTGTGCCTAAGCGGATACTCAGAGAGCCACATACACCACCCAAAACAACCCCAGAACTGTTGCAAAGACTCTCTCCCTTCCAACACAGAAAAGAAAAAATGGTCATACCTGAAGATCCCCTATATCTCCGAACAGCTAGACTACAAGATCACTAACATCTTCCATAAAGAGGGAATACCCGTGTGCATCGCACACAAGTCATACACCCTCAGAAAAGCCCTCCCTCCCAAAATCACGGAGCGTACATGCATAAGAGACAATTGCCCCATCGCACATACCAACCTGTGTTTATTGAGAAATGCTGTTTACCAAATTACATGTAAAAACTGTAAACGAGACTACATCGGGAGCACCATTCGCTCAATCCATGACTGTGTGAAAGAACATCTCAGAAGCATAAATTCATCCGTAAACAAACATTGCTATATGCCAAGACAAGGATTACAAAGGCATTGAAGTCAAAATCATTGCTTGGAAAATGACCTGGTAAACCTCTGCCTCTTTGAAGCATTTTACATAGGGAAAAACAAACCTACACTTAACTCCCTAGAGGAATGCATTGAATTCACAGACCTATTGTTCTAACACCTCCCATATCACACTGGATTCCCTCACAGTTACACTACCTCATTAGTATAGTGACACTTTTCTCCCTTTTATTCAGCCCTTGCAGAATATTTTATCTTATCCATCCCTGATGATGCCACGGAGTGGCCACGTTAGTGTTTTTATTGTTTTGGAAGACATAGTAAACAACACATTTACTCTCCCTCTTAAACAAAAATTATGATTCAACAATAAACTTCTAGTTTACTTCTTAAATGTATTTATAATAATATAATAATAATAATTTAATATTTATATTGCGCAAATTAACATGTCGATATGATCAAACGCGCATCACAACACTGTTTGGGGGACTTTGGCCAGACTGCATCAGCAGTTTACAAACAATCCAAGGAAACTTATTTGAAGATGCCCCCTCCCCCAATTCCCAGTAAACAGGCCAGACTACATCACAGTAATCTTGTGAGTGGGTTCTTTAATGTCCCCTGCCTAACCAAATTATCTAATTAATAGATGCAGGAGATGGGACCTACGGTTTATTCGTCCTTATCTGAGAAGACTAGAATGTCTATCCATTTCTTATTAATGAAATTTAGTGCATTCTCCTCAGTTATTTTAAGACCTTGAGTGTTGGTCCGGCCGGGGCTCGAACCATCGACCTCGACCTCCCACACAACAGTCCAGCGCTCTAACCAATTGAGCTAACCGGGAAGCGGTTTAGAAAGGATTTTTGTGGGGAAAACAGGTAATTTTGTGCAGGATGAGTACCACAGAATACCCCATTAATCACAATTTAACTTTCAAGTGAACTAAATCCTGGGGAAATGCAACTTTTGCTGATTAAAATTGGGTTACAAATGACCTTGTAACCAAGTACTATCATTTAGGGGATGTTTTACACAAGCTCCCTTGTGTAAGACCACTTTTGCAAGCAAATGGCATCTGTGAATTTTACTGGTAAATATGCAGAGCAAATAAACAAGTAGAGCGGGGATCTGATCGGCAAATTTTGTAGAAGGGTTAACATAGCCTTTTAGGAGCCTGGGAAAAGCATGTATCTTCTTAAAGAGTGGACAGATTCCTAAGTTGGGCAGATCAATCAGAAAGGACTTTTGTGGGGAAAACAGGTAATTTTGTGCAGGATGACTACCACAGAATACCCCATTAATCAGAATTTAAGCTACAGTAACTGAAAATTCTTACTAATTTTTTGGGAGGGTACAGTATTTGATAATTGTCAAGTTTACTTTGCAACCTTAGGCTTGACAGAAACTATAAAAAATATTATATTTTGCATAGTATATTCACAAGGTCACTATAGTGTCACTTTGAGGGAAAATTTCAGAACTTGTCCAGTGTACAAATTGACAGGGCTAGGAGGGCTGATATTGAAATTCATAACTGAAAATTATAAGAAATACACAAAAATTACATTATAGTCTTTTATCAAGAAAGTGTTCCAATTTTAGGCTACCTTGTAAATGCAATGTTATCTGTGTTGAGCATGGTAGCAACAGCTGGTGTTGTTAATCTGGCGTTGATAACATCCTCTGAAGGTTTAAGCCCCTCCAGGTCACGAAAATCTTCCCTAAAAAAAGAAAGAAGACAATGCTGACCATACATGTACAAAGTTTTCAAAATAATCATAACTGCAAATGCATGAAGATGTCTTATTTTTTAAATCAGACTTACCTGCCATGAATAACAATAATTATCCACAGGCAAAACCAAGTATCATAATGGCAGTTTAAATTAACACAAATACACAGAATACAAACTGTAGTTGAGAGTCATGTTGCACTCAAAATTGAAACATCAGTTGGAAGCCTCAATGGCAATTACAGTACAGAGATTTAGCTTTCAGATTTAATGACTGAACCATAATTAGAGATTAATATTGAAAGATTTTTGGTAGAAAGATCACTTGCTGTAAGATGCTGGCTTCTGTCAGTTGACCGCACTCATCAACTAACTAAAGTGTAATATTATTGTAAGTTATGATCAGATGATGATACATACCTGATATGCAAAGTCTCTTTGAAGTATCTCTTTTTTTCATGATCAATCTCTAAAAATTGTCCTCCTTCAGCTTCAAAATGGATCAGTGAATCAAAATATCATCAGTTGCCCCACATGACATGAAACGGGTATATCATATGTCACAAATTAAGAATATCCAGTCATGATAAATCAGTTTTACTTAAACATTTACCTCTGCCCTTAAAAATGTAACTCCTATTACCCCTCTGCCAGTCATTCTGGTCAAAGCCAATTAATGTGGTGTCTGCTCGAACATTTGCACCTAAAACCACAATCAAGAGAAAGTTAACCACGCTAAAGGGTAAAATGTGTAAGTTGTATTATTAGATGAGTTTAGAATATTCTCAGCTATTTGAATTTCTGACCACATATGGTTGTGTTTTAATGTCCACAACTGAAACAATAACCGTTACCCTAACCCTAATCCTAACCCAGTTATTACTTGTTTTAAACCTTTAACCTCCCAGAACTTCTCATTAAAATATAAATCAAGTTAACAGATAAAGAGGGATGAGAGAAAAGGTGTATTCTTGACATAAATGTGGTCTAACCACAAATTTTTTCAACTAGCTTACACAAAAATAATTTGTAAAAAGAAAGGAGAATAATTAATCAGATGTTGGGTTTTAGAGGAGTGAAAAATAAACAGCAAAAAATTAACAACTTTTCACCAAAATGGAGGTGGCTCGTGGTGGATATTTACATTTACTAAGCCACAAAGCAGTAGGGTAAATATCCACTTCTAGCCATCCACACTAAGCTGAATAGTTGTTTTTAATTAGTACACACTCAAACAGTGAGATAATATAGCATAAAAAGACGATTTTTACTGAATCATTCCTGCAACAATTACAAAACTGACAGTAGTATCTGGCACAAATCCCTTATGAGTTGCTTGGAGATGAATAGCAAACTTAAGGATATTTGGAGTTTGAGAAGCCAATCAGAGCATGCCTTTGACTCCATCTACTGTTTTAGTATACACTTACTAAATATATGGTGTATAGTTGTATTATTTTACCCAATAGACAATACTTGAAAATTTTCACATTTGAACCAAAATGCTCAGCTGGAACAGCACACACCACACATGGTTAAACCAAAAGCTTTACTCACCACATTTGTATATTTTGTATGTATCACTGGGACACATTCTAGACATGAATGGAACTGTAAAAAATTTCAGGAAATATTAGCAAATAGTAACAAAACTTCTGATGAGCTCCAACTAAGATAAAGCAACATTCAATAACAGAAAAGAAAAAGGATCACTGTCATGGTTATCTGACATGATTAAGAAAATAACCAAAGGTGAGTATTAGTAGCTTAGTATCCTAATTGCACTGTTAAGTGAAGAAGGGTTACTCTTGTCCCAAAAATTAACATTTCTTAAAAATGGGTAACTTAACCCTTTACCTCCCTGAACTGATTAACCTGCAACTTCTCCCTATAATATCCATACACAGTCCAGCAAACAGTTAATGAGAATACTCAAACTTATCAGGTAGAAGCTGTTACCTTGATTGAACAGTGAATTCTCAAAACCAATTTACAAGGAAATGTGTAGTAGCTAGAGGGGAGAATTCATAATCAGATCATGGGAGTTAAAAGGTTAAAGGACAAGTAATATCAAGTTTGGTACTGTTACACATTTCTTTTTCTCTATCAACAAAATCATTGCACAAGATGCAACTCAGTTCTCTCAGAGCAACTCAACAGCAACTGAATCTCAACTATATATGTAATTTTTTTCTTAAATCAGAGTGCATTTATTAGTATAGTGTAATTTTGCTGACAAACACATCTCTTCCATTGTGATAACATTCTAAGTCCAAACAGTTTACTTTAACTGTGCATTAAAAAACAATAGTAAAGTGGCTTTTACCCCAACTGGTGAATTCCCATTTCATTTCCACATAAAAATCTGGAGTCTGTAGAGTCCAGAAGAAAAAATTAGGTCTTAGTCAATACTGTTCTCTCAAAACATACCAAAGATCGACAAATCTACAGTGACAGACGCTTCTTGAATTTTCATTGCCAAGTACCAAATTTAATACTTAGTCTCTTTTCAAGGACTGTTTTCAAATGCAAGCCAAGTGGCCCATCTAACGGGATCTTATCCTGGTTTCCATAGTAAAAGGCAAAAAGGAGTACTGCAGCACCCCATTCTATGTATTGTAGCAGGTAAACCATCCTCCCAACCTTAACATATTTTGCTAGGCTTCCCAGACATTTCACTGCTACCCAATTTTATTCCTGTGTGGAGAGAGACACTGTGACAGTTATGTGTCTTCCCCAAGAAAACAACACAATGATCCCTCTAGGTTTTGAATCAGGGCCTTTTGACCTCAAATCCAATGCACCACCCCTTATGCCACCACACATTATTTTTTTTTGGTTCTTTATGGCTGCAACTTTGAATCACTGCCCTCTCAATTCTTTATAAGTTATTCCATACATTTATAGTTTTATGTAAGTAAGCATGTTTGTTAGCTCTGAAGGCTATGTAGTTGATTCAAAAGGTAACAATTCTAGAAAGTCTTTGAAATATTCAAAGACCTAGCCTTGTAAAGGTCTGGAACTAAGACAGTAATAGTATATTTATCTCACTTATGATAAGGTAAACAAATTTAATGAAAAGAACCTGACATACAGAATTGAGTTCTTCCAATAGTTCAGGAATTCCAGCAAGCCTCAGACTTCCTCTTTGAAAGTCTCGGTGTTGAAGTACAAGTGATAAAATCTCAGGGTTTCCTGTGCTAATGGCTTCGTGCGACACTAAAATACATCAAACCATGACCAGTCAAACTTGTCTAATGGTTTAGAACAACTGAGTGTATATGACAGATTTTATTATTACTTGTTTGTTTTTTTACCTTTTAGTCACCTGATAAATGAGTAATTTTTTCTTTTGTTTATGCACAAAAGCAGACACATTTAAACTTAGTAAGAGAGAAGAAATTGCCACATCATCAGAGACAAAGTTCTTGCTTTTAGATGCTTGAACTATATGAGAGGAAATGATAGCATCTTAAGCATATTTTTTTTCCAAGCAGGGTTGTCAAAATAAGCCGATAGCCGGCACATTTCACCACCTATTCTGAAAATGCAACAGTTTTTCTGAATACTTGTGGCTCAATTTCCAGCATGGAAGCATAACATTGCGTTTCTTGCTTGGTGTCACAAACCGATAACTCAAAACATTTTTGACATTGGTAATAAGCTTGAGGATACTAAGAAGACTGAACAGACAAACTAGTCACCACTCAAAATAATACATATGCTGCATTTTTGCTGAACAACCTCGTTGCAAAAATTATTTTCCCTCTTTGCTTTACCTCTATTGTATTGCTAAACGTAACCATTGCTTGTTAACTGCTGCTTCAAAGCAGCCTTTAAACATGACCTGTGTAGTGACAGGTAGCCAGAGGGAAAGGAAAAAGGCAATTTAAGGTGTAAACAATGTACAGTGGAAGGTGTAAACTGTAGATTACGGGTTATAGTTACTTTTCAAGTACAGGTGCACAGGACGACGTGAATAGTTCAAATCATAGCCCATGCCAGCATTTATAGTTACTGTACTCGTACCTCAGCATCAAGTTGACCACACAATATTCCCATTATAGTTTATATCTCAAATTAATATGTGAGCGAGGCTGAGGAAAACACATCTCTTACTTAAAAACTGGCAATCTTTCTAAACTACAGTACATACCATTCCACCCATCCTGATTAATAGCGTTTGCATCGCAGCCTCCGCGAAGAAGACACTTTACACAATCCAAATAACCTAGACTAACCGCAAGATGAAGTGGTGTCCGTCCACGAGGGTCCAGAAGCTCTTTATTGTGCTACATGAAAACCACAAATACTCGGTAAATCCGTTGATTTTGCCGTGCGAAACGAATGCACACTTGTCTCGTGGTTAAAAACCGTTGCATTGCACGTAAAACACCTACCTTGTTCAAAGCAAGTTCTTCTTCAAGTGACGAGGCATCTTTATGCCAGACGTGCCAATGCAATGGATAGTCTGAAAGTATTGAATCACGTGAAATTTTGGGAGGAGATGCGGCCAGAATGTCCTTCCCACTAGCCGCCATTTTAGACCATTTTCAAGCTGTTGTCATTTACGTGTGCAGCCGCTGATCAAAGATCTCGTATACATCTGTTTCCTCTAGCCGATGACACAATTGAATGACACACCCCTCCCTAGCCCTTTTCTTCCAGCCTCATTTTATTGTTCCAGTGGTTCTTTAGGCTGGTAAGGATTAATCACGCAAGTTGACCATTTTATGCTCAAGTTTTGCTAGTTGAAATTAAAAAAAGCGCAAAACAATAAACCCCCCATGTTCTTTTTTAAGTTTTTATGGACTGCAACGAAACCGAAGATCATACAACAAAACAAAACAAAACAAAACAAAAAAAAAAGAAAAGAAAAAGAAAGAAAAGAAAAAGAAAGAAAAGAAAAATAAAGAAAGCAATATCCAACTACTTTAAACAATAGAATACAGTTGATTTTCTCTTGCTTTACTTAACATGTATGGTCAAGAGAAGATTTTTGGCATGGCAAAATGATCACACTAAGCACAATGAAATTGCCATTTTTCCTTCTTAAATTAACATCAAATGTTTCACACATTCTGCTGTTTCTCAAAAATGAAGTAAGCGCCCTATTTCGAATAAGCGCCCCCATCAGAGGTGCAATAGAATAAGCGCCCCCCTCAGAGGTGCAATAGAGAGATTTAGCGAGAGGACTCGAACGTCAGCTGACAACATGGCGTTATTAGGAATCACTATGGTACTATAAAAAAATTTAAAATCCTTGACCTTTGGTTAATGTTTTGCTCCTTGAAATGGATAGAGCAAAATTACTTGTCAATAGAGGTTGTCAACATAAATTTGACACCACCTGAACCGCAAAAAAGTGTTCCCGCAAAGTGCAAAAGATAAGGGCGTTAACCACCCCAAGAGGGATAATTGCGCCACAAATTTTGAGGACTCTCAAAAGTGTTGCACCACCTACTGGTGTTTAGTTTTGTGCTGTGGTGTGCTTATCGGTTACTGTATTATCATTGCTTCCTCCAACAGACAGTGGAAAATGGTACGAGTCCTTCCTGATGGAGGAGATTCTGAGAGTGAAACGTTTAAGGGTGGAGTATTACTATCTCTTATGGTCACGAATCGCCACATTCTTGTCAAGTAGTGACAAAATACTGCCGCTCGTTCTTACAAAGTTTCTGCTTAATACTTCGACAGATCTGCATATCCAAAATTTAAATTTCACGTGATACATCGATCAATTCTGAGCTTCAACATCCTTCTCGTTACATTAACCGCCTCCATGTTAAGAAGCACTTGTACTCGACACTTCCGGTTCAAATTCCCCACCCCGGCCAGGCAAGGTTCAAACTCCTCAACCCATGAAAACGGACGACAATCAAATACCTGTGGGTTACCCGGGGGATGGTGAAGCTTCGAATTAATTGGTGCATAATGCTTTCTATCAAGGTTTCGTCGGAAAAGCTTCTACCTCGGGTGGGGTTTATGATAATTACGACCACCAATCGCAGAAACAATTACTGAATACTATACGTTCTTTTAATCATCTTCACTTTTAAATCACACGCTATATTTAATATGTAGTTAAGTACAATTTATCATAATAATTTTCTTTATCATATGGTACACGATCACGAATAACATACTTTGAAAAGAAGCCGAGTCATCACGCACCCACGCCGTACAAAAATTTGAACGAGGAAAAGTGATAACATGGCGTCGCCGGTTCTATTTTTCAGCATAACGACTTTATTTGGAGTTCAAATTTTGAACGGTTACGTGTCTGAATTTTCAAACGGTGGCATGGGACTAAGAGGAAGCTGTACCTAATTGAACGAAAGTTTCTAATAGATCCGTTCGGTAATGTGTAACCGTAGTCTTGGTTAATAATCTGTTCATGTTGTCCTTCAGCAGCATTGTTGAAATATATATAAATTAATCGAATGAAGCCTTACACTGCTGTAAAAAGTAAAATGTTTCATAAATCCGAGCTTTCGCCGATCAACGGCAACATCAGTCTTGGTTGTTTATACCTCTACGCTTCTTCAAAACTCTAGTCGACTTTGAGTTGTTGCGAAATATAGGCTGTTGATTCAAGCCAACCAGAATTTCTAACACTAATCTGCATTCCTTGCATGTATCAAAAGAGGTCTCCTTGCCGAGCAAGCTCTGGATGTCAGTTCCTAATATGATTTCCCACCAAGTCGGAAAGGAAAAAATGGGGGCCTCTGTAAACCCGTGAGAGAAAACGGGGGGAAGGAGAGGGGAAGTGGGACAGGGAACCTTTGGCTAAGAAAGTAAATTGAAGTGCAAATGATAAGCTTTTGAATGGAATGTTCAAAGCTTGCCCACCGTAATAAAAAGCCCTTACACCACACGTAATAACCACAACACCACATGTATGATATGTTCTCCACGGTTAAAACAAACTAGGACGATTTGGCAAGAATTACAATACAAGTCGATGACTATCTTTATACCCCGTTTCAAGTCCTAAATCATCGTCACCTTTTGGATTATATCGACCAGCCTGTTCAAAAGTGTTGTGATGAAAATAAATTCCATTAAAAGTCGTCCAAGCTTTCCTGTATATACCCTTCAATGAACTGGTTGCCTATCGAGTGATTGTTTTCAAAATTCAGACATACCATACTTCGTTTAAAAAAAGAAGGCTCGCCCCACGGGCGTAGGAAAGCGAAATCTGCGTTATGGCCATTGACGCGGACGAGATAGTTTGGAATAGCCCGAGCAGGTTGAAGCCAGTTTCTGGCGGCCATAACACAACTTTCCATTATATGGGATGGCTCGATAGTGAGATTTAAAATAAATCCAAAAGCAGTGGGGTGTCTGAAATTTTCCTGTCCTTTCGGCGCAATTGACTTCTTTGGTATACCCTGAAAGTGACATTGACCTGCTTCGAAAGAAAGTTTCCAACACTAAGAAAATACTTTACATAATTTTACGATTTAAACTACAAACTACTATCATTACTAAATATCTGACTTTAATACTTATATGAACTTGTCTAATGTAAAATGCACACTATAACGCTGTTGCATCTTTCTGTAAGTTTACTAAGAAACCAACTTTGGATTGCAACATGTGACAACGACCAAGTTCTACTGCGCCACCAATCAAAAACTATTCAATGAAACACTACAAACAAACAAAAAAACAAGAATCAAATGAGAAAAAAGGAAACTTTGAGTTACGAAAATGGATCGCCAGGCATTAATAGAGACTGACAGACAAGACTTATAAATTGGACAATGACTCAACTGAATTCCAAAAAACCTAATGGCAAAGTAGAACCTAATTATTACAGGAAAGTTTCATATCAGCTGCACTACTTTGACTTGAACCAATCATTTGAAGAATATCAGTATCTGGACTAAAACTGAAACCATTCATTCAAACAAATAGCACTCTGTTAGACAGAGATGATTTCTCCGTCTCCCAGCAAAGTGAGAAATCCTAGAGATGCCGCGGAGACCCTTTTTGTGGAATCTCTGGTTGCCAGTTCCTCAGAAAATAAGACCTTCTAGTCAACTGAAAACGTGGTGACAAGTTGTTTTGCAGCTTTAGCAATATCGTAAGCGCACTGTATGACCTGCTGAGTGAGAAACGCCATATCTACCGTGTTACCAGGCAATACAGCACTCTTGCATTCTACCTGCAGCCTAGCGGCGCTGCTCTTCATCAGCTGCAGCGAGACACGCATACTGTCCACATCTGGGTCCTGAAAAAAAGAAAAACGGTCAATCGTTGTAATTATTGATATAATGTTTTCTAACAATGCAAACAGCTAAGCTCCTCTGCGCGACAAACAAGCATAGGGAGCTTCCATATGAAAGACCAAATCAGCTTTGAAACCAAAATAAAGTCAAATATGATACCTCTGGAAATAAGCTAGCCATGTCATTAACAGCGGTGAAAATATTACTTGAACAGGGAATAAAACTGGAACAAAAACATAAGACAATTAGTGAATTCTATGGTTCAGCATGATAAATAACATGAACTTACATTCAGTCTCGACATTGATCGAATTGAACTAAGCAATATAAAATGTACTGAGAGTTTGGATATTTACCAGCTGTGTCTTCCAGCTTGCGCTGATAGCAACAGTTCCTGAATTTTTTTGGTGATTTGTTCAGTGCACCGCACAACATCCTCTTGTGATGGCTGCGATTTGGAATCTTTCGTAGCTTCGTTGACCAAATCATCCACAGCATGGATCAACTTCTCAGCCTCCCGATCCAGTTGCTCGTCAAAAGGACTGTCCGCTGATTAAAAGAAAATGTCAGCATTCTTGTACCAACCGAAAAATAAAGAAGACGTTTCACACTACCAAGGAGTTTACTAAGTTACACATCATGGCTTTATAATATCTCTTTGATGTTGGCAGCAACTTTCTCGCGGGAAATTTCATTTCTGAAGTCTACCGCGACGCTGCAAAAAAGCAGATGTTCATGTCTTCATCTTAAGACGGACAACTGGCTGATGTTCCCTGTTACAGGCCTTTGCGATGATTTCTTACACGGATACACTCTAATGAACCGACACTTTTTGCCCTCCAAATATATATTCAAAATCTCTTAATTTCGCAAACTTTCTGAAATATTTCGACGAATGGAAAATATGAATGTAAACATGAAAAACGCACTTACAAGAAATCATTCTCTCATGTTCCCTCATCTCTTCAATATTGAGATATCTTCGTTCTCCGTCCGGGTCATCCGGCGAGTCCGTTACATTATCGTAAGGATTGACTTTTTTAGTTTTGGTCATTTCCCCGGCCTGAGACTTCCCTAGGGGAGTGTGTTGAGCAGTACGGTTTAAAAGGGAGCCCGGGGCGGCATACGGTTCTATGTTTTCGATGTCCACGTGATCCTCTTCGTCACTGACGTCTGGGTAAGCCTGGGTAAATGAAAAATAACAATTCACACTCCTAGCACTCGCCTGCAAAACGCAAAGCAAGAACGCCGGCTTTGTGGGCTAAGCTATATTAGTCTTTTTCATGGTAAATTTGTTCAACTTGGCATAAATAAGTTAGTGATACTTACTGGCGGCGCAAACACACTGTCATCACTGCCATTAAGTATTCCTAATTGACTTCTCAAGTTCTTATTTTCGTCTTCCAACTTATGAACCTAAAAAAGAAAACACGAAAAAAAACATTTATTTTTGTACGGATAATGTGAAATGGCCACTGAACGAGTAACTTCCACTTAGCTGATCTACAGGATACTGGTATCTTCTCCAAAATGTTGACTATGTGTCGGTCATGTAAGAGAGAGGGGAGATCAAATCTAAACTGACTACTTTGGCTATTTAATACAAAGTTTGGATCCTAATACACCAAAAGTGTGTGTAGTACCCTCTCTCAACCCAAACTAGTAATTGACTATTTGTAGCTTCAGTTATGATTTCCTCACCATTGCTTGAAGATTCTGAATTTCGTGACTCTGGTTCGCATTAACTTGTAGAAGCTGTTGTACTCGAGCCTTTAAAAATGAAGCAAAAGAAGGCATTTCAGTCAATCGTAAACAAATGGTAGACAAAACTATACTCAGCCATTTCGGAATTGTTGATTAGGAGGGAATCTCTTTAGGCGGGAGAAGAAAGAGAGAAAGCCCATCTAAAGATTTGGAGTAATAGTTTTACAGGTCTCGATAATGTAAGCCGCATATTGGCAACACGGCATATTTCTTTTGAAATATCAGTTCACCTGCGCAAAAACAAACAAACAAAACCAAAAACAAAACAAACAAGCAAACGGGAAAGACTAGGGCCAACAATCACGAGAACCTTTAGGATTTAACCTTAAGAAGAGAGCGCTTTTGAAAAATTTTGGCAAAGTAATCATCTTCTCGTAAAAGCCCCCTTAAATTAAAAATGTTTCACGAGTTACTTACGTACTAAGTACTATAAGGGACCTTTTACACTGAAGTGCACCTACATTAGCTGTCGCCAGAGCACTTTCCACCGCTACATAGCGTTCCAAAGGAACGGAGTCATCAGCCAGAAAGCTTGTAGTTGTTCCCTGCAAGCATAGAGAGAGTGAAATAAAGTCGACTAAATTAAATCAATTTTCAATTGATTGTCAAAGGACACACTAAGTTGCATCATCTTCACTTTTCTGCGGTGTACGTTTGGTTGACAAAAGTCTGGCGCCCTCTCAACCCAGCCAGTGAGAAAGAAAAACTCAAATTGATCAAACTTAAACCTCAGTCACTAGCATTTTCCTTTTTGGGACTGGTAACATGTGTAATGCATACTTGTTCTCTGTTCTACTTGGCCGTATAATCAAACGAAAAAAGCCGAAAAGCGACTGTACTGTACGCCAGCAATACTCACTTTGAAGTGTGTGAAAGAATACATGTAGACGCATGTATATCATTGACCATCTAGTTGATAGTTGTATTTCATACCACTTCAAATTTAAAGATGACCTGTGTTTATTTTGCTAAGGTACAAGTAATCGAGATAAACACATCATGGCAGTATTACTATAAGAGGTGCCCACCTTTTCGATCTGCACTTTAGTAGTCATTGCTGAGGGGTTCTGAAATAAGTAACAGTTATATGTTAGAAAGAATAAAACTTTTAACTTGACTCTTCAATTATCAAATTGCCATAAGAAAATCATTTCCATAGGCTCAAGACACCAGAGAAATGAATCACAAACGAAATGCAACAAAGCAAAAAACAATCACGATTGAGAGAGATTTGCTTGTTTGATGGTATGTCACGAACGAGAAACTGCGACACTAGAATGAGGAAAACAATAATTCAGGAAGATGATTCTGATACCTCCGGCGTGGATTCCTTATCCACTGGTTCCTCGTCGGATGGTACTTCGTCATATTCGTGATCATATGCATCTTCTTCAATTGGGAAAATGTGTGATTCAACGAAACCTAACAAAGTACCAAACGCCAGAAAAATGAGTATAAACCAGGGAAAAATGGTATTAAAACAACAAACAAAATAGTAGACAAACTGCAATGACAACTTGTATGCAGGGCTCAAAGATCCCCGCAACCCACGTGTCTAAGATAGGTAGATTAAGATACTGAGCGAGCGAGTTAACTTGCTTTTTTACCAACTGGGCTGAGCCCTACATAAGCTACAATGAACGTGCTTGAACTCAGAGTTGACTCAACCTGTATAAAACTGTAAACATTGGGGAAGTGAGTTGCAGTCAGTATGTCATCATGAATTAATTTTATTAAAACGTACAGTACCTTGAGTTAAGTCAGGATTGGAGTCTTGTTCTCTCCGTCTTGCGTCATTCAGTATATCAATGATTAATGTTGCAAATTCTTTTGCATTAAACAATGCTAACTTTTGCCTTCCCTGAAAACCACCCAAACTGAATTAATGATCTAGATCAACACCCTCAATATATTGGGGGCTTGGAAGGATCAAAATTGAATAGTTAAAAAGGTTTTGAAATTTTACCAATCTTAAAATGATAATGAGAACAATAACAATAATAATAATAATAATAATAATAATAATAAGAATAATTACAATAATAATGATAATAATAATGATAATAATGATACTGATGATAGATAATGAAATTTTACGGGATAAGGAATTTATCAGGAAACTCTTCCCCTAACAATTCTTTTCAATCACACCCCATATCCAGATAAAATCAGGTTTTGAGAAGAGAGGACCATAATTATATTGGTAGGATATTTGTTTATGAGCATGTTATGTTCTCTTGAATCTTCTAATTTACCTGGTTTCTTGTTGAAGAGAATGAAGGATTAACTGGAAGAAATGGCACTGTTGTTGTATCACTAACAAGAGCACTGTGATTCTGTGTTGCTAGCCAAACTGAAAAAATAATATTTGAAACAAGTTAAAGACTGTCCAATATAATTATTCCACACATTCTGTGACTAATCCATTGATGGAACTCTGCCTTATAAAACATATGGATTACATTTTGCCCAACATATTTTGCTGGGTTGCACATGGACCTCACCCACATCATTCTAGGGTATGGTATTGGAGAGAAATCTTCAAAAAGGATGTGGTTCCACCCGGACCCTGTTGTGATACAGACCAAGCTAAACTGCATTTAAAGAATTCAAAACCATTGTAAACTAATCTTTCAAGTCCTGGTTATACCACGAAATGATGTTGGGCTCATATAATTGCCAAATCTAACACCTTGAAGGTGCTTATGAATCAAAATTGCTAACCTACAGTTGTGAAATATGCACCTGAGGTGCACAAATTGACAAGGATGTTAATGATTACAATAGCAAGAACTGATCTGCGTACTCAAGATAGATCAAGTTCAAATGTTTCCTCATGTCAAGCTAAAATTATACTGTGTTTATTACAGCTGAATACCTGCATCACACTCTCTTCTATCTACTTCATCATACACATCAGATGCCAGTTCTTCAAAGAGATGATGACTTAACTAAGGATAAACCAAGCGAAAAAAAAAAAAACTTTAAAGAAGTCCCAGTGACCAAACCTATGCAGAAGTAACATTGACTTAAATTCAGTTTTGAAATGTTTACCCTTAACTCTCAAGATCTGATTTTTAATCCTCCCCTCTAGCTGCGACTCATATCCTTGTAAATTAGTAATAAGAATTTGGTGTTAGGTCAAGAAAATATCCTCTACCTGACAAGTTTGAATATTCTCATTACCTGTTTGGAGGATAATGTAAGGATATTTTAGGGAGAGGTTACATGTTCATCAACTCTACAAGTTGAAAGAATAATTATAGTTATAATTATTTTAAATAACAATCACTTAACCAAAAAGACAAGTTGTTGAGAAGTATGGGATTTGGATTCCAAAACAAGTAACTTAAAATAAGGTGGCTTTCTGTCACCAGATGCTTTTGATAAATTTTTATGTACTTACAGCTTGTAGCTTTAACTTTGCTTTTTGAGCATCATCTGATAAATCCAGCCGGCTGTTGAAGTATCACAAAAGAAGACTTAAAGATGAATTACATGTACAGCTGTAATAATAAATTGAAGCATTTGGTGTAAAAATAGATACTAGTTTATAAATAATTCGATAATTATTCAGAAAAAGATTGATTTTAAGAATCAATGCCTCCTTCTCCAGTGCTAGTGTCCTAAGCAGCTATTCTTTGGGGTGTGACGTAATATTGCCCCAAAAGTGATGGTTTCTCAGGACCAAACTTAATTCATCTCTCTGTAGAGGCCAATCACAGTTGAACCCTCCATTCTTAAGAGAACCTCTCACACCAAGTTAAAGAAAAGTTAAAGCTCTGTTCTAATGCAACAGTTAGACACTAGATTAAGCAGAAGGACATCCAAACAAATCTGTGGTATAATTTCCATATCTCAATATCACTGGGGAAATTTCTGATAGTTACTATGTGAAAAGGCACATTGTTGAGTTTTGGGTGTGATTAACTTGGCTCATAATATTTATTAAAAGCAGAGCTGATGTACTCATCAAGATCCACAGACTGTATTTGTCAGAGATTAAAATTAATACAAAGAGCTACTTGAGAAAACTGAGCAAAGCACAAGACCTGTCTGCCATGGTCGGTATAAGGTAATGAATGCCATTTTGATGATCTGAAATAAAACAGACACACATGTAAAGAACAGTAAAATGTGTATCAAATGTTTGTTGGTTTACACGGTAATCGCAGCTTACCTCCACAACCTACACAACATACAGGACTGTCTCTAGTACAGAAGTAACTTCACCTTAAACACGAAGGCGCGCTATATAAGGAAGTCTTCCCTGGGAAGACCTAGGCTCATTTGTCACTCACCGTTGACGTGTGCGGGTCAAATTTAAATGCTGGTAGACGAACAAAAGGAGCTAATGAGATATCTATTGTTTACTTCCACCAGCATGGTGGCATGAGGTAACGTGCGAACCACTGACTTCGATCTCAAATTTACCACTACAAATAAAGACAGTTTCAATTGGAGAAAGGAAATACAAATCTCAAAAATTCTTGTATTGTGATGAAGACATAAAATAATTTTGAGGAATGCGCTCGCTGTTTACTGCTTTGGAGTAGCTGTAGCTCAAGCTGACTTGACTCTTAGAGTTCTACATCACACGACGGTTGATTGAAAAATGGTCCAGTGGGACCTAAGGCTCCTTTTATAGCGCGCCTTCGTGTTTAAGGTCATAACACTAAGTGCAGTCCAACAAAGGAAGACTTTGACAAAATGTCAACATATAAGTGCTTCTTGTCACAAATCCACTTTAAAATTTATCCTTCACACAAATTCTTAAAGGAAAAGCACATACAGATCAATCATATTAACTCAGTGCCAAGTAGGGCAATCAAATTCTGAACAAAACAAAACATAACTTTAAAAGATTGAAGTAACATACTAAAAATGGCTGCCAAGAAAAATATGAATATTTTCAAGGAATTATACTAATTGCTGTGTGATGGTCAAGGTGCTTGGGATTCTTATGAATTAAGTATTGCAGACAGCAATGCCTAAAGTTTTGATCTCTGGTGCTGATATCAAGGGGGAAATATTGACTTTCACTGTCAGAGGGCATTTAAACTTTAATTCCTATTTTTATATGTGATTATTTTTTAACATCTTCAACATCAGAGAAAAGAAACCCAAGATCCCAGAAACAACCATTTTTTTTTATCAAATTAGTTACTTGAGTATGACATCTCACACTGACAAATTCCACTGATACAAGGTAGCTTACATATCAGATAAATTCCAATTTCATTACAGAGAAGACAATGCTTCCATACATTTCATTGAGGCCACTGCCACAAATAGCGCAAAAATCATATTTTGATGTTGATGCACACACTTTGCATAAACAGATATATAATCTACCATAAAATGTTTTGAAAAACAATATGGTGTAAAGACTTGGTGTTATTGATTGTTGAAATATAAAAGTACATGCAAATCATGAACTTGTGTGAGGAGTCAGCCTATTGCCTAGTAACTAGGGGTGGGGTGGGGGGTATAAATTACCTATCAGATGGACTGATACTCTTTACAGTTCATCTTGATGGAGATAAACATTTTTTGGAGGCTCAGATAAGATTAATCAAAGGGTTATAAATCTATGAAAAGTGCTTTGTGATTTTGATTTGTAGATTACCATGGCCCAGTAATGTTTGGGGTACTAAATCAGTTCTACATATTTTAATTACCAAAATAATGCAAAATATGGCTTGAAAAGAAAACCTCACTGACAGACTCCAAGTGAAGCTAATAATTGCTTGAATGGAGAACTTCTGTTTGCCAGCAGATATTACTTGAATTTTTTTTTTTTACCCTTTACACCCTAACAGATGTGTTCATATTCTCCAAACTGTTCTCTGTACAGTTCCTAAGGTAATGACAAGGTATATGTGCATGATCCTTCGCAGTAAAGCACTATTTAAGCAATAGTGAAAATCAGACCTGAAAAAAATTCAGGCCTGTACGGGATTCGAACAAGGAGGCCTGTACAATTCAGGCCTGTACGGGATTCAACAAGGAGAATTTGCTTGACAATTATAAGCTTCTTAAATTGATGATCATTTCCTTTATTACAAGAAATTAAAAAAGCCAGTCACTCTTAGGGGTTAAACTGTTATCAAGTGTTGAAGTGTCTTCACAACAGATAACTTTTAAAGTTTTCAACAAAAGACTGTGCAGATTAAAATCAAACTAAAAACAATTCGTAAATGAAAGATAAGTCATTCATTTACCAGGTCTTCTGCCACATAAATAATACGTAAGTCTGTCTGTAAGCTCAAACTGAACTTCTATGAGTCGCTGCGCAATATTTGAATAACCAGCCTCCCTGAAAAAACCAAGAGCATAAAACATTGAACCTGCTTTCCATGTAATAAATTTTAGGGCATCAGTTAGTGCTCTTTAAGCTTTAACCTTGACAATTCTGAACACAACCTCCACTTAAAAAAAAAAAAAACTATTCAAATAAGTAACAACAGATTTCCAGGTACATGTAAAGCAGACAAAGTGAGGAATGGTGATCTGTGATGAAGTAACATAGTTGTCATGGAGGAGCGGAGAGCCTCCATGACACTTTGCCAATGAAATCAGGACAAGTCACCGAGACACAATGTATGTATGGGATAATTGACTGAGGTGCAACACACCACCAAACATGACACTTACATGGCATAATCCACAGGTGTCTTTCCATTAATGTCCGGCTTTGTGGGATCAGCACCATGTACAATAAGGAGTTCCACCTGTAAAGGTTGCCCAGCATTAGCTGCCACATGAAGAGGAGTATTGCCTCTATCCTGTTGGGTGAGCAATGACAATGATATCATCTATCCATCAATGAAAAACTATGTTAAAAAATGACGATTGCCCTTCAACCTTTTTACATGAAATAATCAGCTATAGTCTCTGGTCTTTAAAGTACCAGGCAACTAGGAGGATCAGAATAAACCTAATTCATCTGCCAGTCTTTCATGGTTTACCGGTTGTTTCCAATTATAGATACAGTAAAAACCCATGTGTAAGAACCTAGTTTATTCTTCATGTCTGGCAAAATAGGTTCTTATGTTTAGGGGGATTTACTGACAACTTAGGCAAAACAGGTTCTTAATAGGTTCTTAAAATATCTAATGAAAATGCTATTAAATAATTAATTATAATACATGAATGCGAGCCATAAATACAGTGAGGAAACTGTATTGTGACATGTTTTATGGAAGTATCAAATGTATAGAAAACATTTATTTTATTGTTACAGACATATTTTGCTACATTGTTTCATTATCCAGAATGATCCTTCACATAAGAACCATGCAGGTTTTGCTGGGTAAACAGGTTCTTATATTTTTGGGTATTGAAATCCAAAATTTCTTCCAAAAAGGTTCTTAATTACAAGGTTCTTACACGTGGGTTTTAACTGTATTTCCTAAATTACCATAGGCAACTTCCTTTAGAATCTGTCAGTGGTAATTATTGAAATTAGTTGAATAGTATTTTTGAAAGTTAACGTACTGGATGAAAATAATTCGGGCGAGCACCAAGTGAGAGAAGTCTCAAACATGTCTCTAAATTTCCTGTTCTTACACTTGAGTGAAGTTGCTGCAAAGCAAAATATAAAATAAATTGTTGCTTTAATTTCATACAGTGCCTCTTCATGGACTTAATATGATATACATTGGAGAGCACACTAAATTTGACAAAACAACTTAACTTACATGTAGAATTAGAAAAGTGAAGAATTATGCTTTCCACTGACAACAGTAATCCATCACTATTGGCTGACATTAAAACTAAAAAAGTGATGTATATGTACACTTGCCAAACTTGTGCCTGTCTCTTGTGTTTCTTTCATAATGGAAGAGTCTCTACACAGGCTATAGTTTATACATTTGTACCACAGTACCACATCCTCAAAATCTTCACAAGAGTTATATTTGTACTTTTCTTAGTTTCAGGTTACAAAATTAACATTGATAAAACTGCATTTACATGTACATGGCAAACACATCCACTACATGCTAGGGCACCAAAAAAACACTAAGAAAGCAATTTAAAACAAATACAGGGTGTCTGCTAAAAATAAAACTAAATACAATGACTATAAAGAAAAGAAAAAGAAGAGAAAACTTAAGTGCGTACATGTATCTTGATTCAAAAAGTTCAAACTAAATGAACATTTGAACCACAACATTAAGATGTCAAAAGGAAACTGTGGTGCTTTCTGGGTATGCCACAACTCACCTGACTAAGGTCTGAGACAGTTATGGTATCATCATCTTTGCAAGGTAGCCGAGGGACAAATGCAAGCCTCTGATATTTTGCTTTGATGAAAGTGGACTTTGTGGGACTGAAAAAATATTGAGAACCTCTATCAGTGAGAATATGAGTTATTCAAATGACCAAATATAAACAACTGAACCACAATGTTACTCATTTCATTGATTTAATTGGTTGTAGGATTTCTGGTTTCAATTCAATTTTGTATCTCTCAATTCATCCCTAGGAATCACCTTTCAAATGGGAGATTCTAATGCTGTAAATCTAACAGTTGTCTAAATACCTCTCCCTAATCTATTTGAATTATTACATTTTTGGGGGGGAGAGGGGGATAGAGCTGTGCATCATCAATTGACCAGGGGGTAGTGGGGTGATTCTTTTTGCAGAAAAGGAGTAGGAATGTCTCCCAGACCATGCAACAGCAAGATTAATAATCGACCACATTACTGGTGTGTTAGGTTAACCTTCTGACCCCCTGAGAGTGACTACCATCTAATTTCTCCTTGAAAGATTACTGCTAAATCATATAGTAATGTATGATCACCACAGGGGAAGGTATGGAGAACATTGTGAAGAATACATGTATGTTTACTGATGTTAGAATGAAAAGGGTTAAAAGTGGTTGAGGCAACTGGCCTGGTAATGTGAACACCTTAGTTCAATTTGCAGCTGAAGTACATTTTCAGTGCTTGAAATACACGTATCTTATAAGGCGCATGTATACTGAGATGTGACACGGTTGATAGCCAGAAGTGCAGCAAAATCCAATATTAAGTCATAGAAAGGGATTTCTCTCAATAAAGAAACAACAACTTTAACTTTAAATTTACAAGACATGTTTCGACATTCTCGTGTCATCTTCAGTTGCATATGAGCTTTTAACGGTTGTACATTTGAATTTATATTAAGGTACGTTATAAATTACGTGTCAGGGCTTATGTTACAACTTAAATATTAAAAACGTGAAAAATGAAAATAGCTCGCGCATAACTGGACCAAAAAAATTATA